ATCTCCCTGCTTTATGCCTTGCATGATAGTCATACTTAGATGACCTCAGATAGCTCTGTGGTTCCTAGGTGGCCTAGCACACAGAAGGCTGAACATGAAGTCAGGAAGGCCAGAGTTCAAATCCAGCCTCAAACACTTACTAGCTAGATGACCCCGAGCAAGTCATTTACCCTGTGTGCCTCAGTTTCTTCATCTGCAAAATGCGCACATAACAGCACCAACCTCTCAGGGCGGTTGTGAGGATCACATGAGTTAACATTCAAGTAAAGCATTTTATCTAAATGCTAGCTAGCAGCCACCCACCTGTCCAGGAATGCACAAAAGACAATTCACTTCTTAAAAATCCCTCCACAGACCTGCACATGGGACCTTACGTCCTTTACACCAGGGAAGATGGGGTTTGCCACTCCCCTGCCTAAGCCTGCCAGCTCCCTTCTCCTGTTTTTACCACGGAAGACACCCCCAAACGAGAAAGTGGACATATGTGCCAAGCACTGTTGAGGGACAGGAGACAAGGAAGCCCAAATTGCAAGAGAGAGGAAGAGAGGAGAAAGCCCTTATTAAGTGCCGTGCCTACTACAAAGATGATCTCACTGGATCCTCACAGCAAAGGAGGTGCGATGATGAGCCTCATCGTACAGCGCAGGACACTGAGTCAGGCAGGCAGAAGCGAAGCAACTTGCCCAGGGTCCCATGGCTGCCAAGGGTCTGAGGCCTGCCTATCAAGACTCCAATAATAACAGCAGCAGTGTCCTGATGAGTGCTTGGCCCTTCTCAGATGCTTCTTTAGCCCCCTACAAAAGGCACACCTGTACCTTGACCCCAGGCGTCCCTGCCCCAGCCTGGCCTCTCAGACACAGCACCGGCTTAGGGGAGGGGGGTCAGAGGGGGCTGGCGGCTGCTGGACAAGACAGGGCCCAAGTCAGAGAAAGGTAGACTTTGGCTTGACCCAAGGAACCATCAGCGAGGGCAGGGCAGCCTTCAGGCTGAGACTCATTCTTGCCTCAGAGATGCTGCTGAGGTCATTCCTGTTCAGGTCCAGAGATGACCTCTGAAGGGCCTTGCCACCCTGGGATTCAATAATTTTTGAGGATGACAAGGGACAGGAAGAAAAGCCTGAAGAACGTTGCGGGATCATGGAGATGAGGGAGCAGAGGGTTTCCAGGAGATGGTAGCTAGATACCGCCAAAAACACAAGAAGGACTAAACAACGGATGAGACAACTGGGGAGTCTTCAGCCAGGGGTCAAAATGTTAGCAAGTAAGGTAAGAGCCCGCTCTCTGCCAAGCTGTGTATCTGTTAGTAAACTACTGTGGGAAAGAGACAAGTAGGGGAGAGGGTCTTCCTGCCCTCAAGGAGGGACAGTGCGCATGTGCCCGTCACTGTACAAGGCACCGACACACACTGAGACAGCAGGGACACCAACATGAACCCATCCAACCCCAGCATGGACCCCGGGGAGGGGTGGTCAGGCCAGCGGGCCACCGCTCCCCAGTTCTCAAAGGTCACGCCCTCCAAGAGGGCTTGTGTGTGCTCCTACTAAGCACCTCCCAGCAGCAGATCCACTCCCTGGGCACCTGACTCCACAAGGAGGTTAGGTCAGGAACACAAACACCAACTTTGTCACTCACCTCCTCCTTCTCTAATTTCGCATGTTTGCGTTCAGTGGCCATAGATTTTTTCTTATTAAAATTAAACTGGGCATCCTCTTCAGCTTTCTGTACCTTTTTCTTCTTTTTCTCATATTCCTCGACAAGCTCCTTTGAACTGCTAATTTCTTCAAAAAACTGAGTTCTTTCTTTTGGTTTTTTCATTGAAATGGATTCTACAGTGCCCTGAAACGGAATGAGAAGTAACAGACAGTTGGTCCAAGGTAATTAATTAAGTACCTACTGGGTGCCAGGCCCAGTGCTCAGCACGAGGGATACAAAGAAAGGCAAACACAGGGTCCATGCCCTCGAGGGGCTCAGTCTAACAAGGGGAAGGTGACCCACAAACTGCTGTATGTACAAGTTATGGGGTACAGAGGAGGCTGCAGCTGAGGGAGGTGGAAAGAAGGCTGGGAAAAGCCTCCTTCAGGAGGCGGACGTGAGCTAAGAAGTGGAGAGGAGACCATTCTGGGCAGGGGAGATAGCCAGTTTAAAGGAGGCAGGGTATCCTGTGGGAGGATCCCCAAGGATGCCGGCCTGTTGGTACCCCCTGATGTACACAAAGTACACACTTTGGTTTGGGCATCAGTCATGTCTGAACATTTAACCCACTCGCGCCCCGGAAGCCTTCAGCCCACTAAGCACTAGCTTCCAGTCTGTCTGGTGCTTTGCACCCCCGGCAAGAAGGGGCCCGGCCTCACCTCCTCTTTGGGGCCGAGCCTGGTAATCACAGACACGACATTCATTTAGTCTGCTTTTTAATTACATCTCTACAGTCACTCCACAGGCTGTTTTCCTGGTTTTGCTGACTAAGTTCATTCTTCCAAAACTGAGTATCAACAGCCCCTTAGCTACTTACCTGAAAAACCAGGCAGTTCCTGGCTTTGACAATTATGCCAATTTTTTCCAACTCTACGATGTAGGCAGAACGACTGACAAGATTGTCATTAAAATGAAATTCTGATGACCCTCCTGGAAGAAATAGAGACTTGAGTTACAAGCAACTCAAACTAAATAGTGGATACAGTTGGTTCAATGAATATTAAAATTTCTATAAAATCATTCCTATTTATGAACACCAAGATGGCCGAATAAACCGGTCAGAGACTTGACCCATTAGTATGGGCAGACCATCACACCCAAAGTTTTCTCTGATTGACTCTGACCAAGTCTTCTCGACGTCTTATTATATTATATTCACTACTTGAACCAGGTTGAAAAACGAGGGCAAGACAACACAACAACCATTGGCCTCAACACAAAGAAAACAGATATCCAAATCCCAGTTCCGTGAGGCAGGAGAAGACAGGGATGTTCTTACTACTTGGAAAGGTCGTAGGTTTGCTTTGGGGTGCCCCAGCAAAGAGAGAAGCCAAATGACGGGGTGGGGGAGGAGAAGGGGAAGGGAAAGGGAAGGGGAAGGGATTCAGGCAGAGCAAAGCCAAATCCTTCCTGTGTTAATTCAGTTCATGCCTCTGGGGGATAAGGAAGCTGGATCTGGAACCCCAAGCACCCTGCACTGTATTTCGGAAGAAGGAGATTGGTTCTGGAGTCCTGGTGGCTGTCTGGCCATGTTTAAGCCTTTGCAGCTGAGCTATACTGTCAGGTATAAGGCCATTTTGAAAAATGTCACAAGAAAATTGCTTAGTAAGAATGCTGTGCATAAAAGACGCTTGGGCAGCAAGGATACAGAGATCAGCCTGTTGCATGCAACCAGATGAGAAGCCGGACAGACTGAGAGCCTCCAACACAGTGGTCAGACATCCCTACCTAATCAGAAGGGAATGTGTTCTTAGGTGAGAGAAGGATGCGCCAAACTCCCCTGGTGACTTCCCACCGTCCTCAGCGAGAGACTGAGAACATGTGGAAGAGGTGGAATGTGGCACTACTGTCTCTGGACATCAAGTCCATTGACGAGTCGGCTGATGTATGCCAGGCACTGTGCTAAGCACAGGCAGCACAGCATCTGTGAAACAAGAGTCCACTGGACACGTAGGGGCCAAGGCTCATTTTTATCCATCCTTTAGCTTGGCAGGGGCTGGCTGCACCAGCCGGATGATAACAAATGACCTTCCCGGAGCATCACTGAAGTTGACAGAATCCTAAGCCTGAGACCACTCAGGAGTCTTCAGCCAGCGGTCAAAATGTTAACGTGTGGTGTGAGAGCCCGCTCTGCCAAGCTGTGCATCTGTTAGTAAACTACTATGGGAAACAGAGACAAGTCAGGGAGAGGATCCTCCTGCCTTCCAGGAGGGCAGAATGCATGTGCCTGTCACTGTACGAGGCACTGGACACACCCTCTGAGACAGCAACAAACCAGTCCCTGCCCACGTGTCCAACCACAGCATGGACCTGGATCAGGGAACACAAACAAAGGACAAAGGGACCGGCTGGAGAGGGGAGGGAAGAAGAAGAGGGATGAGGATAGAGGAAGGGAAAGGAGAAGGAGGAGGGGAAGAGAGGACAGAAGAGGAAGGGGAGGAGGGAGGGAGGGGGAGGGAGGAGGAAAATGGAAAATGAGGATGGAAGATGGAAGGGGAGGGAGGGGAGGAGGGAGGAGTTGGGAGGGGGAGGAGGGGTAGATGGAAGAGGAGGGAGGGAGGGGAGAGCCGAAGATGGTGGAGGGAAGGAGGAAGGGCAGAGGAAGGGGATGGAAGG